GCAATTGAATGGTAGACGCGCTATAAATACATACATACATACGAGACGATAAATTACCCTTTACTACATTCTACGTGCTTTCGGCAACAAGTCAAATGGTTTTCAGCAACAAGTCAGAGGACTTTCAGCAACAAGTCAAACGACTTCTGCAACAAATGAACTGCGGCGTCTTGCTTCGCCAACCGTCCAAATGAGTTCTCATGCTTTCGGCAACCGTTCAAATGCCGGGTTTGCTAGTTTCGTGAACGAGCATTCGGAGTACTGGTTTGCCGAAGTCAATATCAGTATGAGCTGTTATAAGTATCGTTCACTTGTGGTGGCTGTATTTGCAAGACAGCACGCTATGCGCTGCTGGTGTTCAGTCATCCTCTAATTTCTTTTAGGTATCGATACTACTAATAGCCCAGTTATGAATACTTGCACTGCTATACCGTTTTTTCGTAAAAATCAAAACCCAACAGAATTCTACATGTTAAGTGCTATGCGTTGGGTAACCGCTTACACGCAAAGTCCGTTTAACAGATTCTTATGTGACAACTCTCATGCTAAGCTAAGTATGCATAACTGGGTTATAAGTCAACGCGCTGCTCAGTCATACAAAGCAGCAGTATTGATTGAGTATGCAATAGTTGGCGTTCAACGCATGCCAGTCTCTGATTGAGACCAGGCAAAAACTGTCATTGCCGTTTTCCATTTTACATGTCGCTTTTTATGTTTACTTATAGTTAGGCGTACTCTTTCATTAAACCATGGACAAGATTCATTAACAGCCCGAACCGTACGAAGAGGAACATGAAGATTGAATAAACTAGTTAAATTTGTATTTAAGAAGGTAATTTTTTATATACAGTATCACAGAACCAACAATCATCCCAACTACCTCTTGACAGGCCATGAGATAGCTCATTAACATAAATAGACTTACAATCACGGCACATGAACGTGGCACTAACAGAAGGACGATTAAACAACACATTTACAGTACAAAGATTAAGTCATGTTAAAACCTATTTGGTAAAATTTAAGGACACAATTAGGGCTCGAGGTGATAAAGTAGTCCAGTAAGCTAGGATTTGAGTTATTGGAAAACCTCGTCGGTAAAAGTTTGTTCACTATTACTAATCCAGAAGTAGATACATGTTCACGAAATTTAGCAGCATAGGAATCATTCAGTAGGAGGTTCACATTAAAACCACTACAAATAACATAAAATTCATAGTCAATTAAATACATTATTATTATTATTATGAGCCTTGAGCACTGCACCCCTAAGGTGGTCTATTGTGCGTGGCCTTTTACCCTATATATGAAGGCTTTTAATATAAGCTAGCACTTCGGAGGGCTTTTTGTTCCATATTTCGAATGGATTAAGTGTTGTACCACCTAGGTGAGCGAGTCTGCGTCTAGCGAGAGCAACACATTCACAAAGGATGTGTTCTGGCGTTTCTTCGTCCATCTCACAGAAGCGACAGACGCTCGTGTCTGAAAGATTCATTTTACTGAGGTGATAACGCAGGGAACAAT